ATATTATACCTTCATATTAAGGTGAGGGGCCACAAAATATTGTACTGCGGGCCGCGAGTTTGAGACCCCTGCGCTAAACCTTTCCAAATGATATAATTTATTTATATTATCATTATACTTCTGCCTTTTCCCTGCAATACCCACGTCTTCCCAATAGATGGCGCAGAAAATGATAAAAGCATTTTAGCATTTTAGCCTTTATGTATGACTTTTACATGTCATTTATCTTAATTCACACGAATACTCCATCTATTTTCTCCTGACCCGCCCCCCCGCCCCGTTCAATTTTAGGACAATTGTGGCCCGGGAGTCAAAAAGTTTGCCCACGCCTAGTCTTAACCATCGACTTTAACAGTTTAACAGTCAATCATCTTAGACACCCATCACTCTTATCATTAAGTTAGTTCGTATTAGTACATTTATATGATCGATAACTTTGTTTTACTTAAACTGTTCTCCCTAAATCTTAGATCTTGTTTTTCTCCTACTTAGATTTTTCAGATCGCTTACATCATTATCAAAGCTGCAAATTCTCCTCGTCCAGGTGAGTCCTGTCTGTCTGTCTCTCTGTCTGTCTGCCTGTCTCTTCCTGCTTTCTAATCTGAACTGTTTATCTCCCAGGTAACTGGATCCTGGAACGCTCACTAGATGGTGCGACCTTTTACCCGTGGCAGTTTTACGCCATCAGCGACACTGAGTGTTTATCTCGTTACAATATCACACCGAGGCTTGGGCCACCAACATACAAGAGAGACACAGAGGTCATCTGCACATCCTATTATTCTAAGCTGAATCCACTGGAGCACGGAGAGGTGGGCCCAGTTGCCTATTCGTCTTTCTTATCCTTACCTACTTGCCCGGACAAGGCCTTTCCCGTCAGCACCTGTCTGACGTCTCTGACTAACCTCTCTGATGTCTCCCTCACCCTCCCTTAGATCCACACTTCTCTGATAAATGGGCGCCCTGGGGCTGATGATCTAACGCCTGACCTCCTGAACTTCACGTCAGCTCGTTACATCAGGCTTAGACTTCAGCGAATCCGGACGCTTAACGCTGATCTGATGACACTGAGCAGCCGAGACCCTCGAGAAATTGATCCCATCGTGTCCCGTAGGGTGAGACGGACGAAACAAAATCAAAAAGAATAATATTTAAAAATATATATCAGAATAGTAAAAAGGCCAGTTATTGAGCTGGTGTCTAGTTGAGATGCGTTCACTTACTATAGCTTGTCTATTTCCTCTCAGTATTATTACTCCGTCAAAGACATCTCGGTGGGTGGGATGTGCATCTGTTACGGACATGCAAAAAGTTGCCCGCTCGACCCCGTCACTAAGGTAACGTGTCGCATCTTCACACGTGGTCATGCACGTCGCCCCTCGACCCCGTCACTAAGGTAACGTGTCACATCTTCACACGTGGTCGCCCCTCGCGCGCGATCTCACTTGCAGTTTGTGTGTGTACCTACAGAAGCTGCAGTGCGTGTGTGAACACAACACCTGTGGAGAGAGCTGTAACCAGTGTTGCCCTGGTTACCACCAGCAGCCATGGCAACCTGGTACCCTTACTGAGGGAAACACATGTGAAAGTAAGGGCCTTTAGCCGTCTGTTAACTTTTCTGGCAGATTTAAGTCTCTACGTGTCCAACCTCTCACAAATAACATCTCTGCCCCCCCCCTCCGACCCCCCCGCCTCCACCTCCTCCTCTCTCAGAGTGCAATTGTCACAATAAGGCCACGGACTGTTACTTCAACCAAACCGTTGCTGACCTCTCACTGAGTCTAAACTCTCGAGGCTCCTATCACGGAGGGGGGGTTTGTCTCAACTGTCAACAGAACACAGATGGAATCAACTGTGAATCATGTCGTGATGGATACTACAGGCCTGCTCAGGTACACAAACACTGATACTCCAGACACTGTTATTGAGGGATGGGTCGATACCACTTTTTTTTTTAATGCTTGGTACAACGAATTGTCGATGTGAGTCAAAAAGTCGAAGGTCGTTTTTTTTTTTCTAACCCACACTTTACTTCTGATTGGCTTACGCTGATACTGTTATTTTTCATATTTTCTTAAGTTTCTTAAGTTAGTAATTCCAAAAATAATACCAAATCAAGTGCATGTAGTGGCGCTTTGGCCCAGAGGCAATGTCCTCTGTCATTGGTGTGGAACCCCAGGGTTCACCTCCTGGGCAAGTTTGAAATTAGGACGGTTGGTACCTTCCAGTGAACGGATAAGCGACTGAAAATGGATGGATGGATGGAAGTACATGTATTACATATACTCTGTATGGATTTACTCTGCCTTCTATTTGGCATGTCTGGTTGTTACTACCGGAGAGTGACAGTGAAAAAGCATTCATTGCCCCAGTTTTTTTGGATCTAAAAAAAACCCAAACATTTTCCTCGACTGAGGAAAGGAGACATACGGAAAGTCAAAGTGATACTGACGTTATATAAACATTCAGAAAACAATCCACAAATATTTGTATAATATTGAAAACTAAAAACCGAGATGTCATAGCATTAGTATAGCCCAGATCTAAGTGATATAGTCGTAGACCATGTCGTACATAACTTAAATAAATAAAAGTATTTTCACTAGAAAATGTACACTGGGACTACATAGTAGGGATGGCTCGATCCGATACTCTCGATTGGTATCGGTCCGATATTCGTATGTCAAAGTTCAGGATCGAACATGAGTAAAAAACAACTTAGCCTGTTGGCAACATGCCGTAAACATGGACACTATTGCCTTGGCAAGCTGGAGTAGTAAGAAGGCATCGGATTGATATCGGTATTCGCATATATTCCAAGTTGCAGTATTGGTATCGGACATGTTAAAGTTGTATCAAGCCATCCCTACTACATACGTCATACGTGTCAACAGTATGTAGACGATGCAACACAACATGTTTTTATAATTCCCAGCTTGCTAGTTTAAGCTAACTCTTGCTCAGTACCAATCCGCAGGATCAAATCAGACTGTTTACACAGTGAGACTACACTGTTTATGTGTGATTGTATGTTTGTATTTTTGTTTGTGTGTATAGGTTTCACCGTACTCCGATTATCCTTGCGTTGAGTGCAATTGTAACCCAAAGGGATCAGAATCGTCGGTTTGTGTCAAAGACGACAAACAACAACCAGGTAAACAAAACAAACCCGGGCAAACCTGTAAAATCCTATAAAAACAGTGTGTCTTACAGACTACGTGCGTTTGTTTTAGGTGTCTCTGCGGGCAAGTGTGTGTGTCGAGAGGGTTTTGCAGGTCAACAATGTGACCGTTGCGCATTTGGATACAGAGATTTTCCCCAGTGTGCAAAGTGTGAGTGTAACCTGTCAGGCAGCATCAACAACGACCCCTGTGCTCCCTGCATCTGCAAGGTAAGCAGTGATGTTTGGGTAACGTGTTCCAAATCATCCATCACCAGGTTGATTGCAACTTAGAGAGCGACTTCTAAGTTGGAACTTGAGTGATTTATTTCAAATTTCTTCTCTACTTAGGCCAACGTAATGGGCGCTCATTGTGACCTCTGCAAACCGGGATTCTACAACCTGCAGAACGATAACCTTCTCGGCTGCACGGAGTGTTTTTGCTTTGGTGTTTCTGACGTGTGCGAGAGCTCTCACTGGTCTACAGCTTCGGTGAGACCTTTCACAGATATCCCAGGTACCGCGTCATTGGTGGAATAAGGTGTCTCAACGTTATGGCTTGTGCTCTTTCGCTCAGGTGCATTATAAAGATGCTTGGCTCAGCCCCGCTACTGACTACGATAAACCTGCCATTCATGACAACAACCTTCTCATTCCTGCCAACGTCTCCTTTGGCCACACCCATGGGCAAATGCTGTCATGGGCAGCACCGGCTAGTTTCTTAAGGAACAAGGTCAGTAACATTATTCTGTCCCTTTAGTTTCTATCAAACTTCAAATGTGATCTTTTCTTATTGATTTCTTATGGATATATATATATGTGTGTGTGTGTGTGTGTGTGTGTGTGTGTGTACACTGAGTGTGTGACATCTGTCCATGCTCGGGATATATATATGTATATATGTATGTATATATGTATGTATATATATGTGTGTGTGTGTATATATATATATATATGTGTATATATATGTATATGTGTGTGTATATATGTATATGTGTGTGTGTATATGTATGTATATATATATGTATCTATATATGTATGTATATATATATGTATATATATGTGTATATATATATATGTGTATATATATATATGTGTATA